TTTAACAAACTATCCTGACTCTTGTTTTCTTCTCATTTTCTCCCATCGGATTTTGCGAAATTTTAGCTCTATTAGAAATTCCAAAGTGTCTTTAAAGGGCATGCCTTGAAAATTTATGCTTTTTGGCACCCTTCGAAGTTTCCTTTATATTACAGACCTGTATTTAGAATGAGGAGACACAGCCTATGTTTGCTCTACTTTATTTGAAGTCAAAGAAAAAAATGAGGACATCTTCTTGCCCTTTAATAATTTTAAGTCTAGACCTTTTCAACACGCTGGTGGACATTCAAAATATTTTCGTTTCTTCTTCCTTCAATACTGTGGAAGCTTTTAGTACTCTTTTTCATTCATTCAACAAATATTCATTGCAAAATAAACAGTGTAGTAGCTGTGGCACGTTTTCCTTTACGCGTGCATTTTGAAGTCAGATCTGAGTACTCAACACTTATTGACTCTGCTGAGACTTCCTAGAAGGAAGGTTGCTTAAGAGGAGTCATTCATCCCCATTGCAGGACATAGAGTAAACACTCATTTTCAATGGTTTCTTACTGAATAGTTTGAGTCAATTCTATTAAAAGCTTAAGAGATAGCTATACTGATCCTTGGGTTGCAAGATGTAGTTGTAGGAAGACCTTGCCAATTATAAAAAGTGCAACTTTGAAAAGGCTCAGTAGCCTAAGTGTGGGGACTGTATCAATGAAGAAGAGGAAGGCATGGGTTAGGAATTAAGAGTGGGCTAGGGCTCATCACCTGGTAAATCAGGAGATACAGTGGAAGGAATACTAAATATCCATGGGCTTGAATCCTGGCTCTGCCACTTCCTAGCTATGCTAACCAGGGGCAGATTAACCTCCCCGTGCCTGTTTCCTCATCTGTAAAATGAAATAGTAAGACACTCTCTCATAAAGTTGTGGTGAGGATTATATGAATCCATATAAAACCTTTAGCAGGATATTTTTCCCCAAACTAGTAATAGCTGCCTCTTCTTCCTCTCCTCAGAAGCTCACTGCCCCTACCCCAGTGAGTTAAGACCATGAGAATCAGCCCCCCACCCCAATCCAGATAAGACCAGGGACTCCCTAAAAGGAGAGGGTACAGAGAACAAGGTCACCTTAGTCCTCCTCACAAAGGGAAAGGGAAAGGAGGGAGGGGAAGGAGGAGTGCTGAAGGGTCATTGAGGTGGGGTGTGGAGTGGAGTGGGGTGCATGGCCCTGCAGTAGGAATTCTGGAGCTGGGAAGGCTGCCATCAAACAAGAGAGAAATGACCAGAGCCTGGGGTAAGTCTGTAATTTAGGAGAGAAGAAAAGTGCAGATTTGGGAAAAGAAAGGAAAATGAGAGTAGATTTGGTAAGAGATGAGTCCAGAATGAAACATCACTCTTCCTCCTGCATCACAGCCAAGCTGCAACAGATTTGAGGTAAGAATCAGAAAGGAGAGAGAAAAAGACAAAATCAGAGCCCTGTCTCCACTGTGTGTATATGGATGAAAATGACAAGTAGTTCAGGATGGAGAGGAAGAGCCAGCTTATTGCTGTGAAGCTTGAAACTCGTAGTACAGTGCTGTGGTGGTTGCAGTTTAAATGCAAATTTGTTAGACTTGATAAGTCCACCAAATGTTTATTATAGGTGAGTTCAATTTTTAAAAACTTCATTTAATAGAAAAAAAAAAACCCGACAAGTCCTAGACCTATTATGGCTGTGGTTTCTGAATATTTTTCCTACTGGTGTCAGGTTTAAGGGGGAAAAAGACAAGTAGAAAAAAAAAGTGAGGATTCCAGTTGTTTTTTGTTCACTGGGGAGCATAAGCCTTTCCAAATACGGGAGGAGAGGGGAGAAGGTGCCTAGGTTTTCCCAGCTCTGAGTTTTGGTTGGCTCCTGTATATACTTACTCTCCCCAAGCTGGCAGCCTTCGGTTCCAATATTTTTTTCTGAGAAATGTACGGTTTCATGGGGTCTCTTTAGGGAGCTGCTCTAGCCTGAGGAAACATCTAAGGAGGCCCTGACATCTAATCATTAGGTTAGAATCAGTGGAGGACAGGGCTCTTTCCCAATTTCTTTTCCCTCAACCTGCCAGTCAGGTTTCACTGAATGACTTACCTACTGAATGAATAGATGAGTGCTAAACTTCATAGTGATGTTATAGAGAAAGCAGGGTTTATATATAGATTAAATAACACTTATAAAGCATATCAATTAATGGCATGTGTGGGCCTTGTTTAGATTTTTATTCGAACACAGAAAATGAGACAATTGGGAAACTTGAACACTGATTAGATATCTGATCCATGCCCTGCACCATGTTTTCCAAAACTTTTAATATTCTCATCATTTTAAAATAAGAGATTTTACATTAAAACCCAGATTTCTGGCTTAGTTTGAAAAATGGGAAGATCTTGCCGCAGCTGGACCCATCTCTTCGCTCAGCCACCATGGGATGGAATTAAAGAGAGATTGCTTTCTTTTGGGCCTCAGGTCCAGAATAAGTGCCAATTCTTCCATAACGTTTTCTCTGATGGCTCCTACCAGGAGTGATTTCTCATTCTGCTGAGTTTTGGAACATATTTTAATTCCTTGCTCAGCTCCCAGCATATGCCACCTGTATTTCTCCGCCCCGAAGACCTCTTATTGTCCTTGCTACCCCATACCTGGGTGGGATTAAGGCCTTTAGAGGCTTTAAATACTGAAAAGATTATGCAGGGTGCCTCCCCATACGGAATTCCAAATCAGATTTTATTTTCCAAAGTGGTGGCATTTCCAAGTGAGCTGAAAACAAAATTCCTAAATTAAAAAAAAAAAATTCTCCAACTTATTTTGAAAAATTTCAAATCCACAGAAGAGTTGAAAGAATAGTAAAATGAACATTTCTGTAACCATCTAGATTCACCAGTTTTTAACATTTTGTGATATTTGCTGTTTTTACTCTGTATTACTAGATGATGTTTCAGACATTGTTATGCTTTAACCCTAAATTCGTCAACATTTATTTCTTAAGAAAAAGGACATTGTCCTACATGACCACAGTATCATTCTCACACCCAAGAAATTTGACCTTGATACCATAAGATCATCTAACATAAAGCTTGTATTCAAGTTTTCCCAGTTGTCCCAATAATGAAAGCCTCTTATTTTTTAAAAAAATCTAGGTTCTAGGTTACACTTGGAATCTAACCTCCTCTGATTGGACAGCTTCTCAGATATTTGTTTTTAATCTTTCACGACATTAACATTTTGAAGCATCCAGGCCCGTTGTTTTGTAGAATATGTCACAGTCTGCATTTGTCTGAATGCTGCCTCATTATTGGATGCATTCAATATCAAACAATGATATTGAATGACATTTTCAACATTTTTGCAAGAAACTCCAAAGGTGATGTTGCATTTTTCTAGATTTTCTATTTGTGAAGTCCAGATAAATTTATCAAAGCTGAATTCGTGTGTGTGTGTGTGTGTGTGTGTGTGGTGCTATTCATGTGCTTACTTAAGTTACAAAAACCCTTCTATTCATAAATCCAAAGATCTATCAGATAAAAGATTACTTCCTTATTTCAAATGGTATTCTATAGCAACATTTGGTACAACAAATTAATTCAAACGATTTCTTAAAGTTCCCTTATTAGAGGATAATATATAATTTTATGATGTTTAAAAACATGATACCTTGTGGTTTTCTTTTGACTGCTAAAGAGTATCTTTTCTTATGTCAATTGACCATTTGTGTTTTCTCTCCTTTGGAAGGTTTGTTTATGTCTTTTGCTCACTCTTGGAAGGTTGGGTTTTTCTTATGTGTTTTTAGGTCTTTATGCTTATGGATACTAATAATTTTGAATTATATAGTATGTATCTCAACTCTCATGAAACAGTATTGCATTAAGCTAAAAGCATACAGATACTGTGGTCAGATGTTTTGTGTTCAAATTCCAGTTCTAACTGTGTGACGCTGGATAAATTAGTTAACCTCTCTGTGCTTTAGTTTTCTCATCTATAAAATGGGGATGATAATGGTACCTACCTATAGGGTAGTAGGGGGATTAAATGAGTTAACATGATGCAGTTAGAACAGTGCCTGGCGCATAGTAAGAGTCAATAAGTATTTGCTCTTATTAGCTTTTACCATTTTACAGCTCTCATGTAATTTTGAGACACAGCGCGCTCATCAAAGTGCTCATCCTACAAGAGGTCTCCTACCCCATTTGGGGGTCTCCTGCACCATACCTATGGCCTCATCCATAAACTGCTCCCTACAACTGTGTGGCCACACCACGTTAATAACACAACTTTGCACAGGCAAGCGCCCATGAAGTGATGTTTGCCCCTCAAAGGCGCATGGGGTCAATAAATTGTTCCTTCTGAGTGTGGGGGAGGGACACACACATTCTGCAAACTCTGAGGGCTTCCTCCAAAATCTGGAGCGAGTAATGTCAGTAAATCCTCTCCTTCACTTTAAAGACTCACAAGCACCTAATTCATACAACTTTGAGACCTGAAGGTGTTATGATTTATTCTGCAACAATTTATAAGTGTCTACTCATGATAGGACCCCTAGCATGTCACAGGAACCTCTCTCTCCCCCAGCCTCTCCCCGGGGCGCTTCCCCCAACTTGGGCCTTTCTTTGTGTAGTGTTTCAAAGCCTAGCAAACTTGTGATACAAGCGCACCCAGTAGGCACTAAGTAAAAGCTTCCTAAATGAACGAATGAATGAAGGAAGGAATGTTACTGGTTGCCAGGTAGAAGTGATGAAAGGAGTAAAGGAATGTTGGATGGCAAGCCTCGTGATGATTGGCTGGCTGCCACAATGGGAGTGCGGGGAGACCAGGGAACGTAGAAGGCGGCGTCTTTAGACAAGGTGGTGGCTGCCCAGGCAGTCACGACGTGGTGCGTGGAGAGCAGCGCTGTCCAGTTTGCGGGTCCCAGGCGGGCGGGGCGGCCCTTTGG